CAAGTTTGAAGGCAAGGAATCGGGCACCTTGGTGATTCCCGTACACCCCTTCATGAACTTTAACCAAGGCTTGGGACGTCTCCGACGGCTTGAGGCACATGAGGTACGGGAGTGTGAAGCTTCTGCAAAACAAGACCCCTCTGATCATGCAGTACCTTGGTGCCCTGGATCGAATACTCTTAGCTGCTCGAGGATCCTTTTGGAGGCTCCCATTTGTCATGAAGTCTATTATTGGATCCATCCAAGATGGTCCATGATTAATGTCCAAGACATCATTGGTCTGAGTGATACTAGGCTCTATAAGAATCTTGATGTGCACACTCCTATTTAATCCACCAACACTTGTGAACACAAACTTGGACAGTGTATCGATTTTGAAATTTTGTGTTCTATCAACCTTAATGACTTTACAACTCTTAAATTGCCTTTGAAGATCATGAGCTTTTAGACAATATAAGCCCATTTTCTCGCCTTTCCTTTTGAATGAACCTTCAATCTGTCCAAACGCGCTGGGAATTACTGAAAATCTTGACGTGTTCAAGCTCAAGTTTAAGGGCTAGCTCTAGAGTGATGATGACTGCTTCGTACTCCACTTCATTGTTAGTAGCTTCAAATTCGAATATGAGGGCACACTGAACCTCCGTGTTCTTGTCGGGGCTAATGATGATGACCCCATCACCCGAGCCCGAAGAGTTAGCTGCCCCATCCACGAAAATTTTTCAGGTATCCAAGGTGTCATTTCCCGACCTGTCCTTTGGCCTCTGAGGTCTTTGTGTGAGTTCCACAATGAAATCTACTAGAACTTGTGCCTTCATAGAAGGCTGAGGTTTGAACTCAATATCAAATTTTCCTACCTCAATTGCCCACTTTAATAACCTTCCTGAGACGTCGGGTTTTTGAAGTATATTTTTGAGAGGCTGGTTCGTGAGAACAACGATGGGATGTTACTGGAAATACTGTCAGAGCTTGCGCGCTGCCATGACCAAGGAAAGGGCTAGTTATTCGGCCAATGTGTATCTTGTTTCTGCGTCAAGTAACACTTTGCTCACATAATAAATCGATTGTTGAACCTTGCTAACCTCCTTCACTAGCACACCACTGACTGTATTATGAGAGATTGCTAAGTATAAAAACAAAGTGTCCCCGGGCTCAAGTTTGGTTAGGACTGTAGGAGAGACTAATGTTTGCTTGTATTTTGTCTGGATTGGCCTCTATCCCTCTGTGAGTGATCATGAATCCCAAGAATTTTCCCTAGGCTACTTCGAATGCACACTTTGCTGGGTTTAATTTCATTTTGTACTTTCGTAGGGTGCTGAAGACTTCCTCAAGATTAGATATATGCTGGCCTACTTACTTGCTTTTTACCACCATGTCATCGATATAGGCTTCAACATTCTTCCCGATTAGTTGGGTAAAGACCTTGTTGATGAGTCTTTGGTATGTTGTCCCTACATTCTTCAACCCAAACGGCATCACCTTGTAACATTATATGGCTAAATCTGCCATGATAGAGGTCTTCTCTCGATCTTCTTCGACCATGAAAATCTGATGGTAGCTCTAAAATGCATTCAGGAAGCTGTACAACTTGTGTCCTGCTGTGCCATCGACAAGGCTGTCAATCCGAGGAAAGGGATAACTGTCCTTTGGGCAGGCATTGTTAAGGTCTGTGAAATCAATGCAGACTCTCCATTTACCATTGGCCTTTTTACCAAAACCACGTTGGCGAGCCACTCGGGATACTGGACTTCCCTGATGAAGCTTGCATTGACAAGTTTATCAATTTCTTTGCAAATGACCTCTCGTCTTTCTGGGGCAAACTACTCTTTCTCTATTTCACAGGCTTAGCTTCTGGACTATTATTGAGCTTATGGACCACAACACTATGATCTATACCTGGCATGTCTTCCACTTTTCATGCAAAGACGTTGATGTTCGGAGACAAGCAGCTAACCAGTTCCACCATAAGGACTTTATCAAGATCTCGACCAACGTTTACTTTTTCCTGACCTCTATCTCAACCTCTACCAATTCTTAGATCGAAAAAAGCCTACCTCGATGGTCAGGATCGGGTTCGGTGTCGGAAAGTTGCATGACGTCGGTGCCTATCCCCCATAGATTGTTAATATAACATTGTCTAGCTGCTACCTGATCTCCATGCATAACTCCTATGCCGTGACCGGTAGGGAACTTCATGGTAAGGTAAAAAGTTGACACGATTGCCTTGATCTTATTTAGTAGTGTTCGACCCAGGATAGCGTTGTAGGCCATTAAAGTACGGACCACTTGAAAATGAGTGACTTTTGTTACCGACTCTGGATCAGATCCTAAGGTGAGGGATAACTCGAAAACACCCTCTAGGATGATGACACTCCCGCTGAATCCCTGTAGAGGAGTTTTCACATGCTTTAGCTATTGAACTGAAATTCCCATCTTTCTGACTTCGAAGTTGGCAATAATTGCTGAAATAACCAAGGCATCATCATGAGGAAGGGACACGTCATCTAGGTCTTTACTTCCAAATGTAATGTCTTCGAGACGATCCCGGGATACTCCTGATGTCGAGGAGTGCTGTCTAGCATATTGTTTTCGTACATTGTTTGAACCTTGCCCTGATGCAATGCTTCTGACAATGATGTTGATGGTCCCTGTTGTTGGTTGGCGACCACCCCTGGTTTCTGGGGCTTTCTCTTTATCACGGTTATTTCTAGGGCGTTTGTCATTGCTATCATATGAGCTGAGGAGTCCTCTTTTTACGAGTGTCCCAACTTCCCACTACAAGGTCATGCAATTCTCTGTGGTATGCTCATGATTTTTGTGAAAATCACAATACTTGCTCTGGTCCCTAGCATCCGGAAGGGACTTCATTCTAGGTAGCCATTTGAACTCCTTCATATCCTTTATCTCCATCAGTATGTTAGCTCTCGAAGTATTCAACTTGGGGAATGATGATGGCGTGGTCTCTTGTCTCTTCTTGTTTCGTGGGACCTCTTGTCGTTGACTTGAGTCATGCTGCCTCTTGTGCTCAACCCTTTCATTAGTCGGGCCGATTCTCTTTGGATTTAACATTTTCTCCATGTTAATATACTTCTCTCCTCTGGTCAAGAACTCGGTCACTGACTTTGGCGGTGTTTTTGACAAGGACATTTTAAATGCCTCACACCTTATAGCATAAGTAAGAGCGGAGATTGCCGTGGTGATATGGAGGTCAGGAATCTGCAACATTTCCTCATTAAACCTTGTCATAAAGTCAAGAAGAGTCTCATTTTGTCCTTGGCAGAGTTGCATAATAGAGGCCGTTGTCTTCCTGATACGCTTGCTACTGGCAAAAAAGGCAGAAAACTTATCAGCCAGGTCAGGAAAAGATGATATAGAATTAGGTTCCAAGGTCGAGAACCAATCCTTGGCAGCGTTGGTCAGTGTTTGAAGGAACGCCTTACACATCACCTGGTCTGGAGCAACTTGTAGATTCATGATGTCAGTGTAAATGTTGAGATGGTTTATCGGATCGGTAGTCCCATCATACTCCTTTATACGAGGATTCTTGAATTAATCCGGCATGGGGAACGACAAGATCCCAGGAGTAAACGGAGTGTTAGGGATGAAGCCCGTTACCCCTTTATCTCTTTGCTTTAGGCTAGCTGTGATACCCTCCTGGATGATTTTGGCGAGTTTACCGAAATCTATTGTTATTTCTCTCAAGGCCAAGGCCATATTGGGTACACCCGAGGTTCCAGCTCCATCATTACCTGGAACAGGGTGCGGGGCTCGAGCTCGAGCATCTGTCATAAAACCACTTTCAGGAGTCGGCGTATGTGCTAGGTGTGAATTCCTCTGACTCAACAATTGAATAAGTGTGGCAACTTGTTGGCGAAGCTCCAACTGTAACAACAGCTTGTTGGGCACTGGTATCTCTGACGACTCTTCCTGAGGAACATGATGATCTTCAGGGAGAGGAGGAGGGTTTGGGGCTGATGAACTTGCTGGAGGAAGACTCGATTGTGTATTCACCATGGCTTTTAGTAGTGATTCCTACAGATGGCGCCAATGATGCTACCAAAAAATTATACCTTATAAATCTTGAGAATAAGGATTGATAACAAATACGAACACGGTCTTTCGGTACCTAAAACAAAGGCAATGAGATGAATTCTCGTCGCCCCTCCGATATTTAAATCAGAAAAGAATTAAAAGAAATATATATGTTGAAAGTTGGGTGAAGAACATACTTGATTAACGGGTTGATGATCTATATTTATAGAGGTGAGTAGTTCAATCCTATAAGGATTGAACCAGTTGGTTGTTCCTATCAAATAAAGTCCTGTTTGAGAGGAATGTCCTATTTGTAATAGAATTGTACGGTCAACGATGTTAGAGTTGACATAGAGTCACTAGGGCTTTAGACATCTGTTGGATGAATATATGTTCCTTGAGGAAATCTTAAAGAACCATAGCCCGAGGACAATATCTCAAGGACACTAAAAGACAAGTCTCATCGCAGTATGAACGGAGTCCTCGGGTATAGTATCTCGAGGACTCACATACCCCTGAGGACATCCGGTCAAGAAATAGAGGTGAAGCATTGTGGGAAGTCCTCAACTAATACAATCCTCGGGGTATCCAAATTTGGTTATATCAATATGTATCCCAAAAATTGCCAATAAAAACAAGAAGTCGACAATCCACGTGTGTGTCCCACATCCCATGATTCCCTATATTGAGCCATTTTTCGTGTGTCCAATGATAAAGAGTCCAGAATCCTATTCAAAAACGAAAAAACGAGAAGACAAATGGCAAATCTTGTTTGTATTGAGCCATATCCAAATTTGGTTATATCAATATGTATCCCAAAAATTGTCAATAAAAACAAGAAGTCGACAATCCACGTGTGTGTCCCACATCCCATGATTCCCTGATATCCAATCTCATGTTACCCACGTATACACATGTACTTAGATATTCCGTTTGTCCCAATCATAATTCTTTTATTTCTGCCAATTTTATTTGCCCCTTGATCCCCGCGTCGCTAAAGGTCCAATGATAGAGAGTCCCGAATCCTATTCAAAAACGAAAAAAACGAGAGGATAAATGGCAAATCTTGTTTATATTGAGCCATTTTTCGTGTCCAATGATAAAGAGTCCAGAATCCTATTCAAAAACGAAAAAACGAGAAGACAAATGGCAAATCTTGTTTGTATTGAGCCACTTTTCGTGTTCATTGTCGGTGTCAATTTATCTTCCTCGAATATTTAACTATTTTGATTTTCCGCCCGGTACTTTCTTTCTTCTGTATATCTCTCTCTCTCCACACCCATTATTTGATTGGAAGTCAATTGGTGATTCTGTTGGTATTTCTTGATTAATTAAATTCTTGATTCTTTATGGCTATCCGAACATTTCAGATCCTCTTGGATGTGAAATAAGTGGGATGCATCAGTTTTTTTCCTTTTGATTTTCTGATTGTGAAGAATCTGTTCTAGAACATCGCAGAACACATTGGGATTCCGTTCTTCTACAGCCGATTTGTTATTTGATTACTTGTAATCTTTTTAAACCAATTCGTATTTTTGTGGGAGGATCAGTTTTGTTACTTTCAAGCCCTGTTGTCGATAAATCTGGGATCCAGCAAAAAAAAAGGATTTTTGGGTGCTTGTGTTATTCAAGGTAGTTGATTAAGTAGTTATAAATACAATCTTGTTCAAGTTTGATAATCTGTTCTAGAACATCGCAGAACACATTGGGATTCCGTTCTTCTATAGCCGATTTGTTATTTGATTACTTGTAATCTTTTTAAACCAATTCGTATTTTTGTGGGAGGATCAGTTTTGTTACTTTCAAGCCCTGTTGTCGATAAATCTGGGATCCAGCAAAAAAAAAAAAAAAAAGGATTTTTGGGTGCTTGTGTTATTCAAGGTAGTTGATTAAGTAGTTATAAATACAATCTTGTTCAAGTTTGATAATAAGTTTAATCTTTTTCTATGTTTGTTACACTAATCGAGCTCCTTTGATAAAGTAGTTATAAATGCAATTGTGTGCAAGTTTCATAACAAGTTTAGGCCCGTTTGGAGCTGCGTTTGCTTTTGTTTTTGTTTCTTGTAAAAAAGCTTTCGGAGGGAGCTATCTTAATTTTTACCTATAAACAAATTTTTAAAAGAAATTCATATTTCGAAAACGAATTTAGAGGAAGTTAGGTTTTATCAGCTTTCTCTAAGAGGAAAAGTACTTTCATAAAATTTTGGTCCAGAAACAGCATTTGGATCAAAAACCTCCTTTTGAAAAGCCATGCCAAATGGGCCCTTAAATCTCTTTCTATGTTACACCGATCGAGCTTCTTAAAGTTTTTCTGTTTGGAACAGTGCTAACTATGACTTTTCTTGTTTGTGAATGAATTCTGTTAAGTGTATAATGTATTGTTTAAGTATTGATCTATTGTTGATACAGGAGAACCTTCTACTATCAAGAAGGGATTCAATCGAATTTTTCAATGAATAATACTAGAGGTGCAGCTTGCTGCTTCTGCTGATTGTACAGAATGTCTGCTTATGGACATCAGATGGAGAGAGAGTACTCCGCTCAAAGTCTTTCGAGTACAGGAGATTCAGGTATATATCCTCTTTAGCATTCTGCATCTTGAAAATTGAAAATAAGTTGTCTATGACTAAAATCAATAATAATGTGATTTCGAGCATGAATATGAAAAAGCGTGGCCAAGCAAGAAAATTTTAATTGCTATGTTACTCTGACCGAATGGAATTTTTCGTGAAAGCTTGTGGATTTAAAGCTTTGATATCAACATTGACAGTTTGAATGGATCGCATTTTTGTATAATTTCTTGTATTAGTGCTATTCAATGAATTTTGCAGATATTTTGACTAACAAAGACAAATTTCTTTGCGGTATTGACTTGTAGGGATTTACTTGGATTATCTGTTGATTAATCTAAATCAGTTGTTGCAGAAATGGGAAGTCGTTATACAACGGAGACAGGAATTTACATGTCGTCTTTTGCTGCTATGGTCTTTATATCTGGGCTAGTAACAGTCGGGGTATCAATGATGGCATTGCTGATTTCATTAGCAGTAATGTTGCAATCTTCTTTGAAAATACAAGCTTGCAAGCTATTAGTAATCAAGATGAAGAAAAGAAAGTCTTACTATTTTCCTTTTAAACTCATGCCATATGCACTATAGGTGGATGTTACGCATGGAATCAAGTCATATGCTGTTATGCATTCTTCATAATCGTATCAAGTTCTTTGCTGAGCTGATGGGATACTGTGCTCAAAGGGATTACCATTAAGCATCATTACGTTTGATACAAGTTATTTTATTTTCATTTAGGATATGTTTGGTATGCAGTATTCAACATTGACTAGATAGTGAATAATAGAGTAGAAGAGATTTTAACTTCCCTTTTCCTTGGTCATATTGCCGACCAATGTCTAATCCACCTTACCAACCATACTCTTCCATTGTTGTTAATGAAGGCAAGACTAATCACAATTTAGTTTCAGGGGTCAAGCCAAAAAATAGTGTAATTCATCTAGCTGGTTCCAAGTTGCAGATACACAGTTCTACAACAAAAATAATAAAAGCTACCGTCCCTTTTTGCTGCAGGATCGACAAAGATGCCTTCCATGATAGCAGTAGGGTGAAAAACGTGTTTGCCATGAAGTTATACCTGAAACTTCAAGCTGGGGGATGGCCATTGATTTTAATATCAAGGAAACCAGAGAAACTACGTGATGACGCAATAGAGCATCTGGCGTCAGTGGGATGCAGTGGTTGGTCTTCACTAATCATGAGGTAATTCCTTATTTTCTTCATAATTTCAAGACATCTTATAGCAGGAACTTTGTACATTATACCGTATGATTAGAGCGAATCTTCTAAAGTGCTAAGCGTTGAAAGATATTGCTTCTTGATTAGGTTTAAACATTTTCCCGTCTAATATTGGCATTTATAAATATAGCATGTCTTCAGGAAATGCTGAAAATGTACTAGCACATTTTTATATGTGACAGATTGAAGTCAAAGAAAAATCGAAATGATACATGAATATCCCATTTTATCCATTGCAATCACTTGTAGATGTTATTATCCACTGTTTCAAGTGGACGAAAGATAGTTTTCCAAATTCAAAGAGGAAAAATAGATATTCATTTATGAGTTCTCTCCTTGCCCAAAAAAATTACTTTCTTGCAATGAGTTATTGTCGTATGGTAACAACATTTATTATTAAGGGAAAATAGTAGTGGAGATCCCAGCCTACGGCCACATCTGTAACGGCAGTTAAATCTTGAAGTTTTCACTTTTTAGTATCACTAGTGTCAATGAACGGGTTCTACAAAGTTAACATGACGTGTGACTCTAACATGTCCAACTCTCGCAGATGATTTTTATATTTGATTCTGAATTCTGTGGTGTCTATAAGGCTCGTATCAAGGTTAGTGCTGATGCAGGACGGACAGTGAAACTCAAATGGATTCTCAAAAACATTTTTCAAGGCAAAGGACTGCATTGCAAAACGAGGGGTTTCGAATCATAGCTACTATTAGCAGCCAGATGGATGCTGTAAGAGGACCATGCTTAGAAGAACGCATTTTCAAGCTCCCAACCCCTATGTTCAGTTACAAAATGGAAGATAATGTTGAAAGCACAAATTTATAAGGGTAAATTTTGCACTCAGAATTTCAGTATTTCATTCTTTTTCATTGCTGAGGTGAAAATGTTCATCTTACTTCACTATTTCTGTGTATATATGAAAGGAGGTGAAGTACATTGGATTCAAGCAAGAATACAGGATGATAAATATTCCTTATGGCATGTCAGATTTGATAGCACTGGATATGATTAATGAAATATGATATTCACTGTATTTCTGTACTGTCCTGTATAGCAAATGTTACCTTAAATGATTTTGTGCCTGTAAAAAATTTCTCTAGTCTACATTTGTGATGTTGTATCATAACTTAATTATATGGTAATGTTTAGCACTATTTGTTAACTTCACTGCTTGGTATTTTGAATTTTCCATGCATTGTGGTCTTTCTATAAATTATGATTCTAATATTCATGATATCATTAAATTTTGTTCTTATTAACCTTGATGACGTGTTCTGGCACAAAGACTTGGACACTATTAGATAATATTAAAATCTTGTATATTATTACTACTATGTTCAAACACGAACAAAAACACAAAATCTTGCCTATTTACCAAACATTCACAGAAACGGTATGTCGTTCTTAAATTTTTTTCAAGTTCAACCAGTCTATGCATCTCATAGTTGTCTTAATATGCCATTAAACAAATAATTTAAACTTTTCCTTGACCCCCAATTTTCAATTATACATTCTTAATAAAATAATTTTGTACGTAACCCCCCCCCCCCCCCCCCCCCAAAAAAAAAAAAGGGTTGCTTCACACGAAATTTATTCTTAAAAATTCTCTATCAAACATGGGATAAGTTTGATAGGGATAATCGAAGGACGCTATTTCGAATCCTAGTAAATGTAATTATAACAACAATCATACTAACATGTTACTGCTTCAAGCTTTTGGGTTTCTTTCCCTTTTTCATTGTTCTTTTTGGTGGTTTTATCTTCTTTGTTGGGTAAAAAGGTCAAAAATGTAGAAAGGTTTTGGTGTGTAAAAGTTTCCACAGAAATTTACTTTTTAGGCAAAGCAAGTAGCATCAAGCAAACATGTAATCATTCTGCAAACGTCTTAAAAAAAATAAAAAATGCATGTGTTCAATAGGCGTAGCTGAAGAGCTAAATCATTGTCTTGAATTGCTAGTTCCTTGTACAAGAAAGTTGGCAAGACTCTTTCCTTGAACCATGTGTTCTATGAATTGAATAGAATAAGAACAAACATGAACTTTTTAAATAATGTTCGATGCTATAAATGCTTATTTATTGGAAAAACTATCAATACATTCTCCCCACGGGAGCCTATAAATATTAGGAACGATAACTTTTGCAAAGAATCAAACATATTTTATCACCTTTAGTAAAATGCATCTCGAATAGCTACCCAGTCCCGTTCGTATTGTATCCGATAACTTCTCATTTGCAAGATGTTCCAAAACAACACATTTTAGACCTATATGAAGTCATACAATAATAACCTTTCAACATTTGAAACAAATAAATTGTATAGTATCATCGTAATAAAGTACTTGTGTATATGTATATAATTTATATTGGATTATTATATCTTTCAACTCTTTACTTAATCTCATAGTTGTTAAAATCAAATTGGATGGGCCCATCCAGTACAATAACTGACGAGCTGTATAGTTCGATCCAATTGCTCTAATTAGTACATTCAGCAAATGCACCGATTAAATGGATTAAAAGATTTAAACTTGGGCATTTAACATATATATATATA